AATACTATCCAAAGTAATTCAATGCTATCCCTATTAAAAAATAATGATTTGGGAACCAGCAGTTATAGAGTAATGGCTATGTCGCTGGACTCCTATGTAGTTGGTCACGGTCCGCGACCCGGACCTGGTGGCTTAAAACTCATGCAGGGCATGTGTGTGTGCATGCCCAAGATCCCAAGAGGAGAATGGAGGAGAAGGGACTGCAGTGTGGCCATCACGCCTGGGGAGGGATTTCTCGCTTTCTGTCTCTCTGTTTCTCTCTGTCTTTCTGGCGAGTGCACGTGCCCTATAGCAAAAACCTCTCAAAAAAAAAAAAAGATTTTTTTTTCTTCCAAAAAATATAAAAAGCCATCCTAAAATTTATATGAACTTCCAAGGACCCTGAATAGCCAAAACAATCTTTAAAAAGAACAAAATTGGAAGTCTCACACTTTCCAATTTCCAAACTTAACTGTAAGGCTACAGTAATCACAATACTATGGTATTTGCGTAAGTGCAGATGTAGTATATACAGACTAATAGAACAGAGCCCAGGAAAAAACCCTTGTATATTGTCAAAATCATTTGATTTTGACAATAGTGCCAAGACCCTTATGAGAAAAAACAGCCTTCTCAGCAAAAGGTGTTGGGAAAAATACAAAAGAATTAATTACTTTACACCATATACAAAAATCAACTAAGAATAAAACACCTAAATCTAACAACTCAAACTCTGAAGGGGAAAAAAAATAAAACCACCTCAAGATTTTTCCTTGAAAGCGAATATTGGAAAAAAGCTACATGATATTGGATCTGGTACTGACTTCTTAGATATGACAAAAGTACAAGCAACAAAAGAAAAAAATAGACAAAATGTTCATCAAAGTTAAAACTTTTTGTGCCTCAAACAATACACAGAATAGGAAAAAATATTTGTAAATTATTTATCTATTAATATCCAGAGATATATAAAACTCCTATAACTCAACAACAAAAAACAATTCAAAAAATGAGCTAAACATCTGATGAATGGATATTTCTCCAAAGAAGATACACAGATGGAGGACAGCCAGTGACATAGCGGTTAAGGCACTAGATCCCATATTGCTGACTATGTGGTCTGAGTCCTGGACTCAGCAGCTTGAAAAACATGCTGGGCACATATGCATGCATGCTCAAAATCCCAAAAGGAGGGAAAAAGAATTGTAGTGTGACTACATGGGGAAATGTTTTCTTACTTTCCCTCTCTCTGTCTATCTATCTCTTTCCAGCAAGTGTATACACCCTCTGGCAAACTGGAAAAAAAAAAGTGTCCAATAAATACATTTAAAAAAAAATGCTAGGCATCATAATCATTACAGAAATGCAAATTTAAGAAAACACAATCAGATACTACTTCATACCCATAAGGATGGCTATTTTTTTTAAAAGAATTACTTTATTTAACTTTTTAAATTTATTTACTTATTTTCTAACTTGACCAGAGAGACAGTGAAAGAAAGAGAGAAAGTGAGAAAGCAATCCACCAGGTCCAGGACTCAAACCATGGTCAGTCACGTGGGTATCCAGCAGCCCTAACCAACAGGCCACCTGCTGGCTCCAAGGACGGATATTATTTAAAAAAAAAAAAAAAAAACTGGAAAATAAGTGGAGAAATTAGAACTTTCATAACCCACTGCTGGCAGGAATGTAAAATGGTACAGCCTCTGTAGAAAAGCTGGCAGTTCTTCAAAACATTAAAATTACCATATGACCAAGCAACTCCATTTCTAGCTATATACCTAAAAGAACTGAAAACAGGGACTTAGATACTTGCATATTAATGTTGAGAGAAGCATCATTCACAACAGCCAAGAGGTGGTAATAACTCAAGTGTACAGATGAATAAACAAACACAATTTGGTACAGGTTGAATATCCTTAATCCAGAAATCTAAAATCCAAAATCTGAAACTTTTTGAGTACTGACATGATGCCACAAGTGAAAAATTCCACATCTGACCTCATGTGATGGATCATGATCAAAATGCTGTAATAAAAAATGTTGTATAATGGGGCCAGCAGATATGTAATGGTTACGTCACTGGACTCCCCCATAGTCAACAGCGGTTCAAGTCCCAGACCCAGTGGCTTAAAACTAACACCAGGTGTGTTAGCATGCATGCCCAAAATCTTGAGAGGAGAATGGAGGAGAAGGGATTGTGGCATGGCCATCCCTACTGGGGGATGATTTCTTGCTTTCTGCATCTGAAGAGTACATGTACCCTTAGGGCAAAAATCTCTCCTAAAAAAAAATGTATAAAATTACTTCAGGCTATTTGTATGAGGTATATATATATGAATTTCTTATTTAGACTTAGGTCCCATCCCCCAAATATCTTCATTATGTATATGCAAATATTACAAAAAAAAATCTGAAATTCAAAATATTCCTGTTCCCAAGTATTTTGGATAAGGGATATGCAACCTGTATATACATATAGTGGAATATAATTATTCAATCATAAAAATGTTCTTATAGTGCTCGCTTCGGCAGCATATATACTAAAACTGGAACGATACAGAGAAGATTAGCATGGCCCCTGTGCAAGGATGACACGCAAATTTGTAAAGCGTTCCATATTTTTTAAAAAAATGTTTACATCATAATCTAGTTTACAAAGAAGTCTTGTGCTAGAATACTTTTTAAAAAGTATTTTTTGACTATCATTAAAACTGCTTTTTTTCCAGCAAGTATCTGACCAACTTGTTTTTGCTTCAAGAAATCTTTGGAAAAATTTAAAAAAAAAAAAATGTTCTTATACATGATGTGACATGGGTTCACCTCAAAAACATTATTCTGAATGGACAAATTTACAGAGACAGAAAATCAAATAAAGGTTATAAAGGGTAAGGGGAGAATGAGGAGTTATTGTTTAATAGTTATAGAGTTTCTGTTCTGGGTGATGAAAAAATTTTGGAATTATAGTGCTGATGATTATACAACACTGTGAATGTATTTAACAGTACTGAATGGTACCAAATTATTAAAATGCAAAACTTCTTATTATATGGATTTTGCCACAAACATTTTAAAAAAAAAAGAAAAAGAAACATGCAGATAGCACTTTTTCTCAGTCCTTTTATGGGTTAAAATATCCTTACATTATTTTCACATATAACATAAAATTTCTATTTCCTCAAAATTTATTACAGCCATTCTGCATGTTGGATATATCACCTTAAAAACATTTTGTGGGTTATCTATTTTCTGTTTCATTTCTTAATGAGATGTTTGCATGACTTGTTATTTAATGCAGGACCACTGAAAGTTAGTATCAGATTCCTTAAAATTAACAACTAGATAAAAAAATGAGGTGCTGAGAAATAAAAGCACCCTGGGACCAGCAGTTAGCGTAATGGCTATGTCGCTGGACTCCCACGTGGTCGACTGTGGTTTGTGTCCCGGACCCGGTGGCTTAAAACTCATGCCAGGCGCGTGTGCCTGCGTGCCCAAGATCCCGAGAGGAGAATGGAGGAGAAGGGATTGTGGCATGACCATCCCCCCTGGGGGGTGATTTCTCACTTTCTGTCTCTCTGTCTTTGTCTGTCTGGCAAGCACACACACCCTAAAGCAAAAAACTCTCCAAAAAAATAAAAAATAAAAAAATAAGAGCACATTTAGGCTTAATTACAATAGATAAAATTCATACAAGGATTTATTGTACCCATAACTTATTGTAATTTAAAAGGTAGCTACGTTAAAAGTATCAAACTATTGTAGAAATATAAATCACTTACAACTGGACTTGGGTCAAGGCCAGTCTAAGCTAACCAAGTAAGTTCAGAGTATTATGGAGAATTTTAAAATAAGATAAAACTATAGCAATTACCCAATTCTCACTATTATAGAAAAAAGAAAATGTAAAAGAATAAATTGCTTGGACCAGCAGTTGGCACAATGGCTATGTTGCTAGACTCCCATGTAGTCAATTGCGGTTCAAGTCCCAGACCCGGGGGCTTAAACTCATGCCGGGCGTGTGTGTGCCCAAGATCCTGAGTGGAGAATGGAGGAGAAGTGATTGCGGAGTGGTCGTTCCCCCTGGGGGGTGATTTCTCACTTTCTGCTTCTCTGTCTTTCTGGCGAGTACACACATCCTATAGGAAAAAAACCTCTCCAAAAAGAAAAGAAAAACCACAATGGGTCAGGGTCAACATGTTATGCGGCAGTTAAGGAAACTGGACTCCCACATGGCTGACCATGGTTTGAGTCCTGGACCTGGCAGCTTGCTTTCTCACTTTCTCTCTCTCCCCCCTCTCCCTCTCTGGTCAAATTAAAATAAATAAATAAAGTTAAATAAAAATAGTTATTTATAAATAAATAAATAAAATGCTGGGACCAGACATGGTGGTTAAAGTAGCTGGATCCCACATGGCCAACTATGCAGCAATGTGAGTCTCAGACTTGGCAGCTTGAAAAACATGCTGGGCACAGGTGTGCATGCCCAAAATCCCAAGAGGGGAATGGAGAAGCGACTTCAGTGAGGCCATCCTCCTGAGGGGGGATTTCTTGCCCAGACCCTGACCCCTTCTCTCCCTGGTGAGCACATGTACCCAATGGCAAACTTCAAAAAAATAAAATAAAACAAAAAGCTGCTAGAGTTAAATCAGGAGAGACTCTCAAGGAATTCTATTTGCTAAAAGACGAGCTTGGAAAAAAACACAGATATGCCCAAATTCAATGCAAATAAGTAAAGACTCTTTAAAATAAGAGACTTTAGAATAACAGTACTAAAGAACTAGAAGCTAATATAATTCAACTAGTAACAACCTTCGAAAGCAGACTGAACTTTTCTAGTGCTAAATAAAATTTCAAAAATAACAAGAATGCAACACACATGGAATGAGCTAAACCATTATCCTACTTCTATCTTGGAATATATAGATAAGTTAATTCATTGTTATATGAGGCCTGTGAAATATATTTTAAATGTAAGGACAAACCTCTAGCCTAAGACATGCTTTTCAGCATTTGTCACTTGCCTGTAGTAACGTGACTGTAAGTAGGTTGAGCACACAGCTTTGGAAACGTGACTAGCAGAACCAAAGTCAATGACCTTCACTCGGTAGGGTTGGCGAACTGGATCGACCAGCATTATGTTTTCAGGCTTAAGGTCAGCGTGAATCAGACCAAGGCTCTTGAGCTTCATCAAGGCTGTGGCCACCTGCTGCAAAATTGGTCTGATGTATTTGAGTGGCAGTGGGCTAAATTTGTTCTGCTTTAGGAAATCATATAAGTTCTGCTCCAGCATCTCAAACACAAGGCAGGTATGATTCTTATGCTGAAAGCACTCATAAGAACGGACAAAATTATACTCATCAGCATTTTCACTGCTTAGGCGGGAAAGGATGCTCACTTCAATCTGTCCTTGTCTGGCATAGGAGGGGTGGTTCTTCAAGATTTTAATAGCCACAATTTCCTTGGTGCTCCGCTTCCAGCACTTAGCCACCTGTCCAAATGTCCCCCGCCCTAGGAACTCCAAGACTTCATAGCTGTTGGTCATAGAACAAAGGATCTCATGCTGGACCAGCTGATAATCCCCTTCTCCGCTGGAACTGCTACTCTTTGTGGTCACAGTGGTGGTTGTGGCAGCAGCACCCACCACGGTCCTGTTTTGCAGCATGAGAGGGGGATGTTCTTCTATGATCTGCACACTACCGTTGCTGTCAACTTCCTCACTTTTTCTTTTCAATCCGCATTTTTGATATGGCTCAAGCAAAGAAACGTTGCTTCTCTGAGTCAAGGTCTGGCTGCTTTGGAAGGTTGAAGTAGCAGCACTGGCAGAGCTATCAGCGGCCGTTACAACAATATGCTCCACTGCAGGAGCTGGGAGGAGGAGGCCCTGCTCGTAAGCAGGGATGTTGAAATTTGCTACCTGGTGAGAGGAGCTGGCCTGCCCCTGTGCAGCTGGGAGGGTTTTGCTGTGGGTGAAATATTTGTCGTTGCTACTCTGTCCTGAAACATCCCAGCCAGAAGGCTCTATTTTCAGTTTCTTAGCACTGAAGGCACTCGACGACACTGATGGGGGGGAAAACACCTGCAGCTGTGATGCCATACCTACATTGAGAGAAAGAAGAATTAGACCACAAGAATAAGATACAAGGCTTAGCAGCAACATACATAAAAAAAAATTTTAGTTGATAAAAGAACTATGATGTGATAATGTTCCCCCTTTCAAAAACTAATTGAGTATTACCCTATATTCAGAGAAACAGTGTTCAAAATTTGGTGGACAAAGTGAAGGTTATCCTTCACTCCATCATGTATAAAAGAGTGTTCACCACTCTATCTGCTACACTTGAAGGGAACTATTAATAAAGTGATCAGAACAAAGTAACCAGAGGATGAGAAGGCTAGAGAGTATCTTCTGAAAAAAACAACAAAAAATTATTCTCAGAAAATAAGAGAGGGACGAGAATGGCCCAGGTTTCTGTCCCTTAATATCTCACATACACTTCAAGTTCGATAAACCTAAAAATTAAACCCAATGCTATATTTTTTCCCCCAAATAAAAACTAAACATTTGGGGACCAGCAGTTAGTATAATGGCTATGTCACTGAACTCCCATGTAGTCAACCGCAGTTCAAGTCCTGGACCCGGTGGCTTAAACTTACACCAGGCGCATGTGCATGCCTGCTCAAGATCTCAAGAGGAGAATGGAGAAGGGATTGCAGCGTGGCCATCTCCCCTGAGGGGTGATTTCTTGGTTTCTATCTGTCTGTCTCTCTCTGTCTGTCTGTCTGGAGAGAGTACATGCCCTATAGCAAAAACCTCTAAAAACAAACAAACAAGCATTTGGACCAGCTCCCTGACACTAGGGTTAAAGGTTATACAGAGAAGGCTAGATCCTACAGGGCCCACAGCAGTTCAAATCCTGTCCCCAGAAGTAATACACCAGGGCACATGCATGCTCAAGATCCTGATGGGACGGAGAGTGGAGGAAAAGGGACTGCATATGGTCAGGCCCTGTGGGGTTGGTTCATTCATTCTCTCTCTCATGTATGCACTTTTGGCATTGAAAAAAAAAAAATCTGAACATTTGGAGACCAACAGGTGGAGAGTTGGTTAAGGACTCCCATACGGCAAACAGCAGTTTGAGTCCCAGACCTAGCAGCTTGCTCTTTCACTTTCCCACTTCATCCTTCTCTGGTTGAAATAAGATAAATTAAATTAAAGCATTCTTTTAAAAAAAAATTGACATAGCATACAAGCCATTTCATACTTATCTTCTCTCTTCTCAATCATCTGATCCTCGGATGCACTGGGGCTCTATATTAATCACTCTTTTCTTGCTCTATTTCCCCCCTTTTCTTTCTCTTTTCGAAGAGAGATTTTTGCTATAGGGAGCGTGTACTCACCGGAGACACAGAGACAGAGAGACAGAAAGCAAGAAATCACCCGCATGGGGGGACAGCCACACAGTAATCCCTCCCACTGCATTCTCAGGATTTGGGGCATGCACCTGGCATGAGTTTTAAGCCACCAGGTCCAGGACACAAACCATGGTCAACTACATGAGAGTCCAGCAACATAACCATTATGCTACCTGCTGGTCCCCTTTACCTCTTTTCATTAATACCTCCCCAGTAATCTGCAAAAGACTAAAAATCTCTATCTCTAACCCAGACTTTTCTCTTGAACTCTAAACCAAATGGCCACTTGTGCTGCAACTTAAGTACCTTAGAGACACTTCAAATTCAGTATGTACAAAATTAAAGTTACAAGCCTCCTCCCCACTCCATCTTCTATCTCAATTATGGGATGCCACCACACACCCAATGCCTCAAGCCAAAATCAAGGAAAGTAATGCAGTCTCAGTTTCCTCATCTATACAAGGGTGACAGCAATAGCTACCCTGAGAGTAGGTACCTCAGGGAAGTTATATGGAAAATTACATGATTTCATACAGGTAAAGTGGTAGTGCCTACAACGCATTTAATTCTATTATCCCAATTCACTCCACTCCCTTGTTCTTCTACATCTAATCGATATCTTATCAATTCTATCTCCTGAGTATATTTCAGATTAACCATTTTTCTCTCCCTCTATTGGCATCGTTCTAGTTCAAACTGCCAGTAGCCTTTAAACTAATCTCCTTGAATGCACTCAGGACATCTTTGCTTTTAAATAATGCAAATCGGATAAGTGTTCTCTCTTCTTAATCATCTCCCTCCCACTACCCCAGTTTTCCCATTGCTTTGGAGATAAAGTTCAAAATCCTCAACCTGCTTTAAAAAGTTCTCCAAAATTTGCTTGCTGTAGACATCTCCCCATTTACTGGGTCATCAGGATGTATTTTTGTATAGAAAAACAGAAAAATACATCATGACTTTCCCAATGACCTAATAGATTAAAAAAAAATCATTTAATTTTGTTATTCATTCATTTATTTTAATTTGACCAGAAAGACAGACAGACAGACAGACACACACATACACAGAAAGAGAGAGAGAGAGAGAAAGGGAGAAAACAAACCATCAGGGGTCTGGAACTTGAAATGTGGTCGGCAATGTGGGACTGTCCAGTGCTTTAACCACCACACCTGCTGGTCCCTCCAGTAGATTCTTATACTCCAGCCACTGTTTTTCTTTTCTTTTTGAGCTCTTGGAAGGTCATTGTATATTCTCTCACCTCCAAGCTCTTGAATGTGCTGAATACTTTATGCTGGGAAAACTGTTCCCTGACACCTGTGCTACTTCTACTGTAGCCAGGAATACAGTATTAAGTACACAATTTCAAGTAATAATAGAAAAAGAAGGTACTGTGGGAATGTATGGTAGGGACAGTGATTGTGAGGTGTGTTTTTTCTATTAAACTTGAAGAGAAAGCATGTTAAAAGGTAAAGTTAGTGCAACTTGAGACTATAAATTTATAAATCATCTTATTCTACCTACATTGCTGACATAGTACCAAATATAGTAAAAGAAAAATCTGAAACCTTTACAAAACTGACCTACTAAAACACACACAAGTATTTCTGTCATTAAAAAAAATGAAACCAAACTACTGAACAACACTAATTTTCTAAATTTGTTTCCATAATATATGTTAAAATTATGCCTATCAAAAAACATAGCCACAACCCTTATGTAACTAGAAGCATTTAGTAAAAGAATCTGAATACAAAATCTACAATTCCCAGCAAGTGCTTAGGAATAGAACATCATAAAGTAATAGTACTGAAAAGGGTTCACGAAATGTATCACAGAATTTTAAAAAATAATTAGAGGATTTTAAAATACTGCATTTACCAGAGTAATGTTATGTAAACTTTTTACCCAATATACCAATTGCAAATCTTCATATTGGGTACCACAAAAAAAAAAAAAAAAAAAAGGGCCACAAAGACAAAAAAAAAAAAAAAAAAAAGGGCTCAAATCCTAGGACAGTTTTCAGAATGTGTAACTATATAAAGTAATATACTTATTCAAATAGACAAATATATATGTGTATACATTCATATATATATACATATATATATTTTGGGGGGCAGGGGGGAGGTTTTTGCTATAGGGTGCGTGTGCTCGCCAGAAAGACAAAGAGAGACAAAGAGTGAGAAATCACCCCCCAGGGGGGATGGCCATGCCACAATCCCTTCTCAATTCTCTCAGGACCTTGGGCACGCACGCGCACACACACCCAGTGAGTTTAAGCCACTGGGTCTGGGACTTGTACCACAGTCGACTACATGGGATTACAATGACATAGCCATTATGCCAACTGCTGGTACCAACAAATATATATATTTTTAAGAGATTTTTGCTATAGGGCACATGTGCCCACTAGAGAGACACAGAGAAAAAGCGAAAAATCATCCCCCAGGGGAGATGGCCACGCCTCAATCCCTTCTCCTCCATTCTCCTCTCAGAATTTTGGGTATGCACGCACATGTGCCTGGTATGAGTTTAAGCCACTAGGTCGAGGACTCGAGCTGCAGTCAACTCCATGGGAGTCTAGCAACACAACCTTACACCATCTGCTGGTCCCAAAGACAAATATTCTTATTCAAAAAAGACTAATTTAATCTACCTAAAGAGGAAATAACAACCCAGAATTATACTCTCCATCCCCACTAAAGAGCATGCTGTATAGAAATCAGTGTCAGACCAGTAAGACTCCTATAAAATGTCTAAGACTCATCTTGATCTTAACAAAACAAGAAAAAAAATACAAAATCAAAATGGTCTAGACTCATATTCTATTCAAAATTCAGCTTAAAGTAGCAATTTCTAGACACAAAATAAAGATACTAAGTCACATAAAATCTGCTTTGCATAGGTAGATGCAACTCTCTTCCTAAGAGCCTTCCTGAACAAAAATAGGGCTCAGAATTAACGTTTGTGGAAATTATCAGATTCTGTTAAGCAAAATATAAACATTTTTAATTCATAAGAGAATAGTTCCCAAGAGATTAAGTTATGTGACTTCCTAAAAATGTTTCACCTCAACTCTAGCAATGAAAGAAGCCTTTTTGATTCAAAATTAACTTCCATCTCATAATGACAAATTTTCCCACTGCATTAACCCCAAACTAGAACTGACAGGTAAAAGGCTCTTCATATGTTTACTTACTGCTAACAAAAATTCAGTCTTCTTAGAATCCAAGGCTTTTGAAACCAAATTAACAGCTCTCTTACTCACTAGCAGGGTCCATCTATAACATCATTTACTGCATGCCTTATACTATAAGCCTGCAGGTAGATAATCTTACTACAAAGAATTCAAAAATCCTAACACTGAATAGAAAGTTTGGATATGACAACCAAGGTAATCATTTTCAATACTTTGTTTTTAGTCCTCGGTAACTTCCATCTTTTCCCCAAACACAACTGTAATAACTGCCTTTTGCTCAATGTCATCTTTGCCTCTTTGACACAATTTAACAACTGGTGACCTAAAATCAGTAAGATCCAGCCAATGTAGTATTCACTGCTAAGATGCTGTGCTTGGCAGGCTGGGATCTCAGAGGAGGTCAGATATCAATTCCTGTCTAACCTAAAAGGTATGTACCTGTAATTGCAGTGATTTGGGAGGCTGAGATAGGAGGATCTCTAGC